GTGGCTCACACTTGAATTCTTTCCTGCACGAAGCCAAGGACCCACACCTGCGGGGCACGTCCCAGGGGTTCAACCTGGGACTTGGTCCTCCTCACGCCCCACATCTGTTTTCCTGCATCACTTGCTGCAATTTATAAATCCTTCTTTCTCCCAGTCTTTGACTTTCTGTGTCTTTTGGCTCCACACCCACCAAGAGACAAACCTAGTCTCCGGGTTACAATGTGACACTGAGAAACTGGGGCAGCAGAGCAAAGTGACTCACTTAAGCAGGTAGATGGTGGACCCTGCCCTAGAACCGGTGAAAGGAAAATCAAGAGAGTTGGTATCACTAAGAGAGCTCTCTAAAATGGAGCTGGGAGGCCATGAATGAAGTGGCTCATCTCAGCCTGGATGGAATCTGACCTCTTGATCTGATGAAGTCAGCCAGAACACCTGCCAGACACTCAAGATATTTATCAGACCCTTACTCTAAAATAATTCATGGAAATCTGCCTACTTACGGGACCCCCGTACCCTAAAACAATTTGTGATTCTTCAAAGACAAATATTTTCAGCGTCAATCACAATTCTCACCAGACAACTGTTGACAATCTCCTGGGTTTTTTGTCTTGACAAGCCCTTCTTTCTCAGAACACTCTTCGGGGGTTACTTGAATTTGTGTCTCCCGAATTGCAATTCTTTACGATCCCAAATGAACTCTTTTCTTACTTGCAGCCTCCTGCATCATTTTTCGGTTGACAAACTAGGTCCCCCGATTCCCAGTGGCAATTCCTGGCAACTCTGAGGCTTCAGCTGGGGCGGCGGGAGGCAGGGTCGGCAGGGGAGCGGAGGGGCGGCAGGCCAGGAAGGGCTGATGGCTAGTGTGCCGGCGGGGGATCTGGCTCGGGGCCCCGATGGCTGCGGCCGCAGCGCAGAGGGTCTCGGCACAGCGCCAAGCCACGCCTCCGCTGCCTCCCGGGCCGTATCCCGCTCCTCCAGCCCCGCCCCCGCCCGGGAGAATTCCCGGAAGTGGGGCGCGGAACAATGGGAGGAAATGCGGCAGGAAGCCGAGTCCCACCTCTGCCAGCCCAGGCATCTCCGGGCTGCCGAGGGTCCCCGGCCAGCAGGATTGCTTGTTATTTCCTCCCTTAAGCGTCTCTCTGGACCATGAAATACCCTCACCTCCCAGCCCTGCAGAGGACCTGGGGTCCACCCCTCCTAGGGGCTGGGCGAATTCTCAAGCCCCTACTCTGTTA